TTAAAGAAAATTATATGGACTTGAGGAAGGGAAGCCAAGAAACCCTCTCTCTCTTTGTCTCCCACGGTCTATGCTTCCCTCAATGCCTCGCCCTGTCTCGTTCCCTCTCTTCTTCTGCAAATCTATTTCTTTGTAGTTCTTCCTTATCATTCCTCTCAGCCTCCTGCTCCTCTTCCAACTCTACGAGACATACCACTCGAAAAAGAAAAGAAAGAAAAAGAGAAAGAACAATAAAAGAGAGAAAGAGAGAGAGAGAGAGAGAGAGAGAGATAGAGAGACAGAGAGAGATAGAGAGAGAGAGAGATAGAGAGACAGAGAGAGATAGAGAGAGAGAGAGAGAGATAAAGAGAGAGAGAGAGAGAGAGAGAGATAGGGAGAGAGAGAAAGGGAGGGAGGGAGAGGGTGAGAGGTGAAAAGAAGGACTGTATGCCTAAGCTGAATGAAAAAGAAGAAGTCCCTTTTTCCTCTGCATTCCCACTTATCGCTTTCCCTACTTTCTTCGTCCTTCTTTTGCTTTCTCATTTGAGAAGGGTGTGGAAAGGAGGGAAGGGTAGGGAGGGCGTGGAACGATGCGAGGGAAGGCAAAAGGGGACAAGAGATAGTGAAAGTGAGAGAGAGAGAGAGAGAGGAAAAACATCGCGTGAGAAAGAGAACATGGGAGACGAGGAAGGCTTCAGCAGAGAAAGCGAGAGAGCCACGAGTATGGCCCTGTCCCATCCCAGTGTTACTGTATCTCAGGGGCCTCCGGGCCTCGCGGAGCCTGTAGGGGGCCTGCAGGGGGGTCCAGAATTTTCTGGAAGCAACGGGCGTCCAACCCCTTCCCCAGCCTGCCATGTGACATTGTGTCCTCCTCCCCTCCTCTCCTGTTCCCTTCCTCACCCCCCTTCCCACACCCTTAAAAGACAAGAAAAGGAACGAAGAGAGCGAGAGAGTCTTTCATTCTTGCTCTTCCTGCTTCCACTTCCTCCTCAGTAAGAAACAAACAGATAAAGACAGGAGGAGGGGAAGGCCAACAGGCAGCAAAAGGCCGTTTCTTGTACTGACTTCCTCCTTCGTTTTCTTCATTGCTTCTCTTTTCTTCTCTATGTTTCTCTGTTTCTCGCTCTGTCTCCCTTCTCCGTCTGCGCTTACTCTTTCTGTATATTTCTAATTTCCCCACTCTTCTCACTCACCTACATCCGTCCTTATGAACGTTTCGTTGCGGGCGTGCTCCTCACTGCCTATTTCTAAAGCCCTTTGCCATACGTCTGTTTCTCAGGAACCTACGGGGGTTTCCAATGAGAGGCTTTCCAGAGAGAGCTTCAAAAGGGGAAGAGGGGCGAGAGAGGATGACGCTTTCTACCCCTTTCGAATTTAAGAACAAAAAACGAGTAAGGTAGACGGAACAAGGAGAACTCCTCTTCCTTTCTGGTCGTTCCCGTCTCCTCTCTTATCCTTGACCTTCGTCTTGGAGGGGCTAGGAGAAATGGGGCACGGGATGGGGAGAAGCAAGCGGGAGTAGAATGAAGAGGAGAAGAGACAGGAAGGGGAGAGCGGGCGAGAGAGAGGGAGAGAGAGACTTTGAGAATGATACGATAAAAAAACGCAACAAGCGAAAATGAATGGTGGACAGAAAGGGAGAGGAGAAAGGGACGGTCTGAGTCTTTGGGGTCACTCTGAAAACAGCTTGGAGAGGACAGTTGTTTCTTTTTCCTTTTTTCTGTTTCTCTCTCTCTCTCTCTCTCTCTCTCTCTCTTGCTCCGTGTCTGTCGTTCTCCTTCCCTCGTTCTGTCAGTACTTTATACTCCTTTCAATATCCACCAGGGCCTGCAGTTTTCGCAGGGGGCTTCACCGAGGGGTTCCCTAAAAGGGCCTCCCAGGGGTTTGAGAGAAGATGGGACTGTGAGGAAGGCCCTGTCCTCCCATTTCCAAGAAGAGAACAAAGAAGACAGAGAGATGTAGGTAGAAGAGGGTAGTAGGATCAAGCATCCTCCCCCTCTCTTGTCAGTACCTTCACTCTTCCTTCTCATCCTTGACGTTCTGCTTCTATGGGAGAACTCCTGCTCCTCTCTTGTCAGTACCTTTGTTCTTTCATTCACTGTTGAATGGCGCGTAAAAAAACGGGAGGAGCGA